TTTAATGTTCATGAAAGAATTAATTATACGTCAATTTTCTTTTCATAGGTAAAATTTCGTCTAAAACCAGCGTTATATCCAAAGGTTGAAGTCTATTTCATTTTCAACAAATATTCTATTTGCACATAATATATTTTCTAATTTATTTTAGAAAGAGTATTAATCTTTCACGTTTTCAAAAGAATAAGGGACATGGGTGTTTGACACAAGGTAGTAAATCTGTTTTTCATATTTCTTCCAGTAATGAAAACAATACCTGAATATTTTCAAAGCAAATTAAGAAAAGTTTACGCCAAATTTGCATAAGTATTTTCTTGGTATTTTTTATTTAAAGTGTGGAATTTTCTCTTTGAAAATATCACAAATCATGAACGGAGCAAAATTAATTCATGAGAAATAACTTTGAAATGCAATAATTCCATCATAATATGAAATAGTGGAAAAGTGCATACAGTTTATATTCACAATAATCCCCCTCATAGCGCAATTTATGTACTGTCGATTGAGAAAATATAGTTACATTAAACCGGTTATTTCATACTTTTCCATTATCAATATTTTTTGAGCTCTTCAGTTAGAGCGGTAAAGGTGGCCGAACACTGTAGCTCGCTTGGGTTTGAATCCCGGCTAAATAGTGGTTCAGGTTTGTGTAGCTTAAATGCAACCAGCTTCTCTTAGAAGTCCTCCGAGAAGAGTATAACTCTCTTTACAGGTAATTGTTGTGTGCTTTGATGTATTCAGTAAGCGAACAAAATTAATCAATCAAACCCGAAGGACAGATTGATTACATGTGGAGTTTTCCACCAGGAAACGTAAATGCGAGCAATTTTCTCTTAAAAAGGTTTACACAAAGCATCCATCCCCTTAAGCAGATAGCGTTCGCGTGCTTTCGTAATCCAAACTAATTTTCATACATTTTAGAAGTGACATACACCGTTACAGACAAAATAACAACCTTTTTTAAAGATATATTTTAATTTGTCTGAATTCGCTTTATCTCTGAGGAGTATAAAGAATTTCGCAAATAAAACTGGCCGAAATTTTATACATGTAACTGATGTTTTGATTCAATTTTAAAGTAACGTGAGCTTTACTGATATTTAAATACTTTTGGAAGATCTTATCCAAGAGGGGTCTAAAGGTAAATTGATTTTATTTAATTGCAATCAAAAAAATCATTGAAAGCAATCACTGAATGAATGAAAATCACAAAAACTATTATGCGTACAATTGTCTCTTATTTATCTCCTGATAAATCAGAAAAAAATGCCAACATAATAGAGCACATTTGAAAGAGGTAACATTCTTAGGGTTTTATGAACTACACAAAAAAATGTCAAAATAAATCTTATTATCCAAATATGAAAAGGAGTAAACGATAAAAGCGGTTTTACCTATTTTCTAGAAGAGCATTAAATCTAAAATATTAATCTATTCTTATTTGTTATGATTAAAAAACATAAATATGGTAAGCTTAAAGAGCGTTGCAAAATTGCTGACGTTTTAATCATAGCAGGTCAGTACTAAAAAAATTAGCATTAAATTATGAGACAGATTGAGAAAGAGATGGCCTCTTTTTGATTTTCAAGTATATTGGTGCGAGACGAAACCTGCGTTTTTGCCAAAAATGTAGCCAAATTGATAAGAAGAGGGAAATAATGCGTAGCCAATGGCTACTATGAGCAGCGACAATGGACCACCCAGAGATCTACAGATAGCGATTCTCTAAAAGGGGAGGGCATGGATGGTACGACAGTTGTACTAATGCCGGCGTCTGAGAAAGTCATTCTCCTGGTAAAACTGCTGTACCAGCCGGCTTCAGAAAGTTAAAGAACTAAACATGGCTAAAATATATGGACTGTTTGTATTGAGCTGCCATCTACTATAAATAAAGAAGGTTCAGAGTAACCTATAAATCCTTTTTCATTCAATTTTTCTGTGCGTACAGAAGAAAATTTTAGGTGTGTTTAAACATGGCCTTCAAGAACAAGGTCTTACAGCTCATTGACGTAGAGTGCGTGACGTCAGTACAGAGAGAATGCACCCTTCTTTGGGTTTGAGGGCAGCATTGGGTCAAAGGTTATTGTTAGTCGCCATTGCTACGAGTAAAGTGGTTGAACTGCAATTATTGACCTAAAATCTTGGTATATACCATGCTTTCTTTGTAGTCGGACACTTTAATTTTTTTTTTTTTTCAATTCGTGGGTTGTTCCAGAAACAATATAATGTGTTACTTGTGTTCAGTGCCGCAATGTAACTGAAATTACAATACATATTTTTGCTTTTCCTGTTGATGCAGATGAGAAAGTAGATACGTGCAATAAAACGGAAAACTTCATTCCGACTAAAAACAGCAGGGTGAGGTTTCATTACTATGATTTTATTGTTATTTAAAAAAACTAGATTAAATATTTGATAAGTTTAATATATCTGTTTATAAAGCCGAAATGATTTCCACTGAAAAACTAGTATAAAATATTAAAAAAGTAAACAATAATTAGTGTAAAATATAAAAGTAAACAATAAATTAATTAGTCCATAATAATACAGGATTATTAATGTATAATAAATTTTGTTTCATGTATTGCTGAAACGTGTCATTATGATTATATATTAATCATATAGCATTAAATGATTTGTAATATCTTTAATTTCAGTTTTTTTTTAATGTACTTGTCATATAGATTTAAAGTTTTAAAAATAACGTTTTCATTTAAAATTCAATTGTGTTTCACATTACCCTTTTTTTAAACTTTGTTTTAGTCATATTTTCAAATAAAAACAAAACTTGAAAACACTATTGTTACACCAGTTGCTTATACACCATAGGATTTTTTCCCCCTAAAATTTTGCTGTTATGTTCTTTAAATTAAACTTCATACATTAGCAAAATGCTAAATTTTTGAAAAGGTCTACAGTATATGAGGTTTTAAATGGATACAATAGAATAAACAATTAAAAAGATTAAATCACTGGAGAATGAAGTGCTTTGCAAGGGATGGCCGGTATCCTATATTATCATTCACTTTCCTGATAGGCTCTACCACGTGCGCTTGGTAAAGAGATGTGGGAAACTCGGCTACTGCCTCGCATATTTTAAAATTTAAACATAAATTCTGCTTGTGTTCCTTCAAAATGTTTCTATTAAATTTCAGAGAATTATTATTTTTCCCCTTTACAATCCTTAAGGATACACGTAAGTGATCCAAAAAATCAAAACCCACACATAGTTACAGGCACAACTTTCGATCTAGAGAGCTACAAAATTAATAATATGATCAAAACTCTAACGTGGACAATCAAGATTTCGCTAAAGAGTATATAGAATAGAAGAATTCATATCGCAATTAAAAAAGTGTTTATCGGCAAAATTAAAGTAAAATGATTTTCTGTGACAGATTAAAATAGATCTTTGTTCTATTTTGAAGAATCTGGATCACTGCAAGTTTAATAATTATTTTAATAATAACAATAACACCATTTGACAGTTTAAAACAATGTGGACATTAAAAATTATCATTAAAAAATAAATTTAAAGTTTATTTTGAAATAATGATGAATATTCCTTAAATGTTTAGTTTATTATAAAAGATATTATACTCTAAATTATTTAAAAAATAAATGTAATAACGAAAAGCTAGTTCTTTCATTATCGTATGAAGAAAATTAAAAATATTATTTAAAAAGTCATAAGAAAAGTTGATTCTTGTAAAATGCTCTTTTTACCTTTTTCAGTTTACTAGAATGAAAATAATGCAATGTTTATTTTGGTTTTGCAATTCGAAAGCTTAACATTTCACGTTATGAGTGTTGGAAAGTTTCAAATCTATGGAAAATAAAATGAGACTAATATAAATTTATTGATCATCCAGGTGAAAACTTTTTATAAGTAATAAGAAAGAAAGCTCAGATATCGAAGTTTAAAGCATGATATATAATAAATGTTAAGATAGTATAATTTATTTAATAATCTTCTATTTACTTATCATCATCATTTCTATTTACATCAGAATAAGAAAAAATTAGCTTCTCTGATAAATAAGCGCGATGTAGGTTTACTCGCTTCGAATGCAGGAGAGAGATTTCTTCGCACTCCTCATCGTGATGTCACAAAAGAGCTGGGAGGCCTTGTTTCTCAAAGGTCACGGTTTAAACTGGACACACTGTGCCGCAAAGGGATAACCCCCAAGTGGCATGACCGGATTTATCTGATCATAAATTTTTTCCTCATTTGTTACATTATAATTTAAAATATTTTCCTTTCCTTTCTTTCTTTAATAATGTAAATATTATCTTAATGAATAGAGATTTGTGAAAAAGAGACTACAATAAGTAATTATAAAAATTTAGATAAGAGAAGCTGGGAAAATACAGGTCTTGAGATGGGCAGATGCAAAAAGCTATGCCATTCAGAAGGTTAAATTAAATTGAGTTGATGTTATATGATTGATTTGATAAATAAATGAAAAAATCTAACATGAATGCTGAATTATTAAATTTTTATTTTCTGATCTGATAAAGAATATTTTTAAAATTTATATAATCTGCTTCCTATTATTCTTGAATGGCATCCACAAGCAATTCTTTGGATATTTAGTTCACTTTTTTTAAAAAAATCTAATTTTAATTCTCAATCAACAGCAGAAAAATTTAAGATTTTAAAATTAAAAGCTAGATTTTGATACAGGCAGTAATCAGAATTTAATGCACCACTAAAACGGGTGGCAATCTGCCACTGCTTACAAGCATTTCCAACATTAAATGATATTTAACTGATCCTGAATTCTCTTACTTTCCTTATTTCATTTCATTCCAGAATCATTATTTTATTATTACAAACTTATAAGTATATGACAAAAACATCACCATTCAGGAAAATTCCAATAAAAAAATTAAACAATGTGACCATTCCTAAATTTACTGTATGCAAAGCAGTGGAAAGATCAATATATGCTTAAAGTTATTCGCAAATTACAGCAACAAAATAAACAACAACAAAAGAAAACTTTGCACAAGTTTATTTTAGAGATAAAATGTACACTATACAAAGCAAAAGTATTTTTAACATTTAGCAAATAAAGAAAATGTCACTGATTGGATGATAACAATGAATTGAATCATGGCATAGCTACAGCATGTTGTGAAGACTTTATTTAGAAATGATGGCACTTTGTTAAGACATTTACTTTTTAAAAAATAATCTAAAGCCATTTTCATTATATACACATAAAATTAATCATTAAAACAATTGCCATAAAACTTCCTATAAAAGAAAATATGCATGGTGTTTTTTACATGAATTAAAAGATACCAAATAGTAATATGCAAAAACATTTATGATTTCAAAAACAATGATCTTAATTATTTATGCACTACAGTATACAATTTAGTAGAACAAATAATCTTTTTTTTCAGAAAATTTCAGATATTAAAAATAAATACAGTTAACAATACAATGACGAAAGAAAATGTTAAAATTGTGTTTGTTAATTTATTAGTATTTGAAGTTTCCTAATAAAAGAAATTCTTACAATGTTTGCAAGTAAACCTAGCATCAGTATTAACAGATGGCAAAAAATAAGTAAAAAAGTAGTGTTGATGTAATCTTCTTAATGAATGAAAGGATTTTTCATAAACGACTTCCTTTGTGGTCAATGTTTATTTTTCATATTCTCTTCCGATTTTGGCAAGGATTTATGCTCTAAAGAATAGCAGCAAACAAATGAAGTATATTTATTATCACAGTAGAACACAGCACTCTTGGCATTTTACTCACATTCAATCACTCAAGCTACAGAAATTATATATTTTTAAACAAAGAGGTAGTTATAAAAATCTTAAACAACATTCACTATTCTTTCAATGAATGAGTCAAATAATTTGTATTTGATTCAAATTTTGATATTTCTGAGATAAAACTAGTTTCTTACAAATGTAAATATACTTAGAAATATTCATGTATGTATGTCAATCCCGAAATAAATTATAAAAAATAGAAAAAATCATCCCACTAACTACTACTACAATTTCTTATATGTTGCAGCATAATCTGCAAGTATGTAAAATAATGTTAGAATTAAAGTCTAGGAAATAATTTGCAGAATTATTCACACTCTTATTAAGCATAGTTGAAATTTAAAAAATCTTGCATTTTAGCTTCAGGATAGTAAGTAATTTCAAAGCACAAGTTAGGGGCAAGATACAGCACAGTAATTCTATACTCCATTTGAGACAAGGTACGAACAACAATTATACATAGTATATAAAAATTATAAGGAATTATGAGCACACTTCTAAAGTTCATTTCAAAAGCTTCAAAATGTGAATCACCAGCATGATCAGAATTTCAGCTACACAGACAGTGAAATCATCATTAACAGAAACTTCATCAAGAAAGACAATAGTAATTCTTTTTTCCATATCTGTATCACTGAAATGTGAATGAGTGTAAAATATTTAGCCCTATCACTTATCCATGTGGCTTATCAGTGAAACTAAATGTTCCAAAAATTTTAATTATTTATTAACCATAATATGATCGAAGAAATTTTCAATCTTCATCAAATGCATCAACATGCAACACGTAAAACATACAATAAACACAGGCTCTCAATCAGTCACATAACTATGCATTTTGTGTTCTAAAAAATGTGTTAAATATCATCTGGAATGCTATATACATTAAGTCAGTCCTTGGAAATCATGATTAAGACATAAAAAAATTACAAAAAGAGATTATTTCTTTGAAAAAAGAATTAATAAGAATATCTCTGCAAGACTAGCAGAACCCAAAAAAAAAAACAAAGTTCAAAAGATCAATTTTTTATTATACACCTGTAAGCAAAAACTAAACACTTTCATTATTCTCTGCAGCTATCTGAAAATTATTAACAAGATGCAACCATACTTTACATATAAAAACCAGAAGAGTGCATAAGCCATACAGAAACTGAAAAATGCATTTAGAATATTAAGCCTTTCATTTAAAGTATCTACAGCAAATGACTGTTTTATTCAGCAACTGGTTATGTTGATACAGCCTAAATGAGCTCACTGTTAAGGTTTGATGCAAGTTTAACCAGTATATATACTCAGTATATCCGCTGTTATTCACCATTTTGTATATATCTAAGTAATCCAATCACAAATTTGTTTCTGATTGCTTTAATGACTGCTAGAAGATGATGGAGGGTTTCCAGGAGATCCAGGAGCACTACCATTTCCAGTATTTTGAGTCTGGGCTTTCTTGATATAAATATTTAGGAGTTTCATCTAGAGCGAGAAAAATTAGCACATTAAATATGTTACTGAACACATATATGAGTCATAAAAACAAAAGTTATAGTGCTTCCAGCCATGAACTCATAGTGTAAATGCTACAACAAATAATATTTTAATTAAATTATTTTAACCTTTTGATGGCCATCAATGAGCTCAGCTTGCATTCCAGTTATGCACCGCAATAGGCACAACTAAACACAGTTCACATGACTGACAGATATACATATTTGGGAAATTAGAAATGTATTTGTTCAGTAAACAGTAAAATGAATTTACTTCAGCATTAAAAACTCATTACTCCTGCATTTAGCATAAACCATTTTTTGAAATCAACATGAGATGATATTTCAGATGGTTTTTTGAGATATAAACATAAGAAGTGTACTTTAAGATCATTCTGGTTGCAAATTCAACATGTGCATCCAGTTTCAACAGAGAAAATCCTAAAAAAAAAAAACACATCTTGCCTTTACCAACTTCATATCCATCTTTTTTTTTTTTTTTTTTTTTTTTTTTTTTTTTTAATTTGTCAACATTAAGTAAAAAAAAAAAGGGGAGGGGGAAGAAAAGAAAAAACAACACAATTTGGGGTTTGGAACCGAATTTCAGATCAAAATTAACATCCAGGAACCAAATTATGATGATCTGGCATCTCAACATAAGCAGTTTCATCTTTCTCGTAGACTGTTCTGAACATTATTTATTTATATTTTATTATGAATGCATTTTACTTTCTGTTTACTATTACTTTTTTATGTGCTAAAAATGAATCTATTTTGATTGTTATTAATGTATATATTCTTTTTTTGGGGGGTGGACAAGTGGTACTTAGCATTATTAATTATATAGAAGGAGTATAGGAATTTCAGGAAACACTGCAGTTTATTAATATTATTCTGTCACTGTATTAAGTATATTAATATGATTTTCATCATTAAAATCAAATATTGCTTATAGTACTCAAAAGCTATATTTATGGTGCTTTATTTAAAATATCACATTGCAAAGCACCAGATTTTATTACTATTTAAAGCACTTAAAATGAACATGTAATTACAATCATTTCTTTTGCATTAGCTCAGTATGAAAAAGATTAAGGCAGAAACTACAAAGACAGAAGCAATTACATTCAAGCAACTAACACAGATATTCCAAAAAATGGAAAATCAAGAAACACACAACTAAATTACAATGTTTAAATTTGTTGTGAAGGATAACATCTTAAAACGCTCTTAATTTTCCACAAAAAATATTTTTCAAATGATATTCAATTCACAGAACTGTTACAAAACAGTTTTTATTACTCTTTGTATCACAAAACATAGTACTCTTCATACCACATTTGATTACGATAAGCTTAAAAATGCATGTTCAAAAAATAATTTTAAAAAATATTAATTACATCTTGATAAATGAAAAGAAAATATATACAGAAAGGAATAAATACATAAATTACAAAAGAAACTTAATTATTAGGAAAAAATATCTAATTACCTGGCAACTATTTAAGTTTACCAAATGGGGCTGCATTGCCTCTCCTACTTTACAATGAATAGCTACCATGCAAAACACTGCAGCTTTTCTCACAGGACTTTCATTGTTGTCATATGCCTAAGAACAAAAATAATTATAAGAATGAATGCATCTATTTATCTATCTATCTATATACACCCACATATAATTAAACAAATATCTCGCATGCATTTTTAATGAAACTTTAATAATTGTATTTCATAAACAAATAACAAAATACTAAGAATAATTTAAATTTCAAAACAAATAACATGATTAGGTTAAATCTGAGATATTGAGGTTGTATCATTGTTGATCTTCTTATGACTTTGAATTAACTTTTAATGTTCTAATTTGTTTGCTTCTGTTTTTGAAATTGAAATGACAGTTTAGGGGATATGTCTTCTAAAGTAAGCATCTTGTTCAGATTAATAGTGTTCTTATTAAAAACTTTAATTTTAAGAGTATTTGCTACTTTGTTTAACAAGATTCTTGGATTGAGTACTAATTTTGACTTATGGTTTAAATCTAGCAAATAATTTGATGCTTACTTGGAAGTAAGATGAAACACTCTCTTAATTTAGCTGTTGTTAATTGATGGTAGATTGGTTTATCCCCTTGATAAGGCACTTAATCTGCGATCAGTGACAATAACTACTTTTTCAATATTTAGAATTTACTTTTGGTATTTTTTGCGATTTAAAAATTTTCTTAGCAGATTTTTAAACAAGAAGTTGAAATTAATATTTAAAATACTAATTTAAATTCTGACTAAAAAATTGTTTTTCATTCATGGTTTTAAATTGAATTGTATTCCTTGGAGATGGTATATGGAAAGTTTTCTTATTACAAATTATGAATTATTAGTTTATTAACTTTGCAGCTTTAGTGCAAGTCATAGGCTTTTTAATTTACTTTTAATTACTTTATTTTGAATATACATATATACATACACACACACACCAGCTCTAGGGCTTTTGCCACTAGATGCAAACTGTAATGACCTCTAATTTCTGCTGCCTTACTCCTCTCTAAATTCTAAGAATTTTGCTCAGATTGATAAAAAATATACCAGAACATCCTTGAGTTTTAAAGACTATGAAAAAAGACCAACCTCGAAAGGAATCCACAGGATGCAAAATACCTTTAATCAAAAGTAAAGTTGGAGCACAGCAGCAAAGAAGATAAAATATACATAAAACAGACAGCAGGCATAAAATATTCAGGCTTCATCAGGGGATATTTTTACTCCTGACTGAGATTCAAGATTTACACTATATCATGTTCAGTACTGAGATGATCCACAAACTGTTAATGCATCATGATCTATTCCTCTTGTAGCACTGACTGCTGTTGTAAAATCAATGCTCGCAGCTGATGATAAATTAAGCGACATCTTCTGAGAATACACGTGTTTGATTTGATTTAGGTCTGAGTGACATGTGGCAGATTAATGTAGTGAGTACATTCATCAGCTGTCTATTGATAGTATGATAAAGAGCCAACCACGATGAGAAACTGAAGGCCCAAAACATTTTTAAAAAGATGCACATGAGGACTGAGAACTTTCTTTCTGAAAGATGTGAAGCTCCACCAAGCATTATGTCTCCGTCAATGAGAGTTCTGCCACCCCTAAACTGGTGAACTTCAATAATGTTGTTGGCATAATTGAATGTTCACCATATCTCCAGATGTTTAGACAAGTATAATTCCCTGCAAGACAAATTGTGCTCTTATACATTAAAAGCACTTGACCCCATATCCAAGTTCCTCCTTTCTCGTTTTCCCATCACTATGGAAAACACAACCTTTGATGGGTATACATCAATATACATGCTGCATATTAGTTGCCAAGTGAATAAATGACCATACATATGCAATATCCTGGCCACAGAACAATTTAATAGCGTGTGTTCAGTACAGTATTGCTTGTGTTTTTATCATTTCCCATTCTATCTGCCTACAGAACTAATCCACTGATATACTAATGATACTGAAAACACTGCTCACTCTAATGAACACTATGAACACTTAAAGGGTGTTAAAACCCCAAAATCTTCAAAAAATTGTGATTTCGGATTTTTGCATTTACAAATTCTCTACACTTTTATCTTTCTAAAAATACCATTCTTTAATCTCTATTAAAATTAGAACTGTAAAAAGAATCTAGTTTTAATTTGTCATCTACTGCTTTGATCAATGAGGATTTTTACGTAAAAATGCGATTTTCTCCAACTCTTCTTATTTTTATATACTTGATATACCTTTTCTCAGGAACTACTGCTCACAAGTATCTAAACTTCTTGTGGCTTATTTATTAGGTTCCCTAATATTCACTAAAATGAGCTTTTTGTAATAAACTTAGAAAAAAATTTTTTAAATTTTTTTTGTGTGAGAAAAGTGCTAAATTTTACTATGCCTAACAAAATATTCTGTAATTTACTCTAAAATTTAAAATGTTTCAAAAGCTCATTTCAGTATAATCAGGTAGGTATACTTTAATTACAGAAAAAATTTCAAGCTTGTATCTACAGCCGATTTTGAGAAAAGGTACATCAAAAATAGCCAATTTAACATTGTCAGTATAGGGGTTTCTGATATTCCTTAATGACCTTTCCAAATATCTACAATATGTCTTGCTTCATATATTAGCATGTCTTATCATAACGAATCTCCTGACAGCGAATCTGAGTGATCTCCCGACTGCTTTGGTCAGTTCAGCAAATTTATTCAACTTTTACATTAATTTCTCCACCATGCCTTTAATTTTTGCATGCCAGTGTACTATCAAATTTAATTAGTTATAATTTTCTTAACAGAAAAGTACTATCAAATTTAATTAGTTATAATTTTCTTAACAGAAAAATAATCAGCTTCAGTTTAAGGTAATATCTGTCTTATTTCAAATTCAAAATTTTACATAAATAATATCAGTTATGATAATCAAAAACTCATAGCTGAAATATTACAAAATGCATAAAAAGTTGCTAAAAATGTAAAAAAAGAAGACACCTTCATTAAAACAAACATAGATAAGAAGTTATTCAGAAAACACAAACACTGGTAAGAAGTCATTCAGCAAAAACTAATACAAAGTGCATGAAGTTTTATCCTTAAGACCATCTGAAAAAATTGAGATGCACAAAGTATTAAAACTGTATTTTAATAGAAATTTAATATTTTTCCCATTTTTAAAATTAAAATAAAAAAATTAGAATAATATATTTAAGTAACAGTTAAATTACTTTTTTAAGTGCTGGCATGATTTCTGGTAATAAATTCAATACAGTCTGCTTTGGATGATGTTCTACTAACTGTAAAGAGAAAGAAAACACACACATATGCATATGTACCACAGGAAATGGGTTTGAAGAAAATTAATAAATAAGTAACATAAATAAATAATGATCAAAATAGTATGTAAGAATATTTTTCTTCCCTATAAAATATTTTGTAGGAAAAAATAATCTGAAGGTTTAATTTACCTTTGAATTACATTTTTAATACATATTGTATAATTAGGATTGCAACAAATCAAACAACTGTATAACAATGCTCTCTTGATTTTAAAGTTGAATATGATTGAAGGATTTCAGTCTCCTCCTATTGAGAAATATTTGTTGATGATGCCAAAAAAATGCCATTATAAATTTATCTGTTTGACTTAGTTCATGTCTCCTCTCCTGAACACGAATGACTATGTAGAAACTGATGATTCAGGCTCCTTTGTTTTAGAATTTGAACTGCAGTATGCAGCAATGTAATTTGAATGCTAGAAATATTCAATGGAACAACTGAGTTCCCGCCTTTTAAGTTTTGTAACTCAATTTACATTTTCAACCTGCCTCAGGTTATATATATTTACTTAAGATTTAATTAAAAGATGAAAATTTATCCATGCTATGCACCATATTCTTTGATTCATTTTCAAAGTGGAGCAAACCATTCTATTGCAGGGGAGATGCTATACACACATTTGTTAGAACAAGGGATAAACTTTCATACAATGAATATGGCATTTGCAAATGGACATTAATTTAAGGTAGATGTTTATACCACCAATGTACATATCCCAGCCTGAAGCAAGAGTTTTCAAAAGTAAGCTAATTGTTTTCAAAGAGGTCAAAAGTAACCATATGATCTTCAGGGCAGATTTTCTACAAAAATCTGGTATCATTCTTAGCTTTAAACAGTTTGTCAATTCCTGTCTCTTGCATGAAGAAGAAAAGTAAGTGAAATGCAGAAGACACACTTTAATACTCTGTTAATGAAATATAAGTCTGTGTTCTAACCAGGAGAGGGGAAGGAACTTCTTATAATGAACATCACACAAAAAGTTGTGATGAATGTTATTGTTATGAACCAAAAGAACAGGTTGAAAAGAAGCAAGATTATTGAAAGCAATATGCTGATAAAAAAATGCAGACCTGGATACTTGTTTAAGGCTTTAGATCAAGTTTTGTTTTCCATGCACGTGTGAGTAAAATGCTCACTGACTCATTGCTCACCAACTACCTGTGAAGCTTCAAAGCTCAATCTCTTTATGTGTACATCATTCCTTAGCCTTAAGACCCCCTGACTCAAATTCATCACCTCTTCAGTCCATTCAAAGAGCTGGATGTCCTGAAGTACCTACTGCTGGCTCCTCATTGGGACAACATCGGAGCTAAAGGTGGAAGCTGTAACAAATGAAAAAAACTGTGACCTTTCTCTCCTCACTTTGAGATTTAACTCCCCAAAAGGACTTCAAAAAGACCTTCACTCTCCCTCCCTTTAATGTTTGAACTTGGACTCTAATGTCGTGCTAATGTACTCCAGAACTAATGCTGTACTCTAATGGATACCTCTAATGCCATACTCTAATGGACTTCAGAAGGGCCTTCACTCTCTCCCTCTAATGTTTGAACTTTGGACTCTAATGCTGCAGGTGGGGAAAAAAATAAACGACTGCAAAGTTAAGTTTTGGAAATACCATGGCTTAAGAATATGTAAATCACCCCAAGCTGTAATGTTAAGTTTGCAAACAATCTATGTCATATTCAAAAGATATATTTTAAAGACTAATTGCTAAGCCTTTATTATGAAGAAAGGAAACTAATGTTCTGTTATAGGATGGTAATTTTTTCATATTATACAAGCCAAACTTCCATTTTAGGAATTATAAAAATGAAAAATTTCATGCATGCTGCAAATATAAAATAAATCTAAAAATTTTGACTTATCATATTTTTTAATTTCTGTTAAAATTATTAGATTCTATCCATGTTTAAATACATTTAATATGAGCTTTATATTAACTTAATATATATTGCTGAACAATAAACATTACAGTAACCATCTGCATGACACAGGTTTCTGAATCTGCTCATGAATGAACTAAATTTGTATAATTACTTATTTTAGTCTCAGTTTTCATAAATGTCTATTAATTAAGATGACAATTACACCAATAAAGAAAGTAAAGAGAGAAAAAAATCTCATGACTGGATAAAAGCAGACATGTCACTCAAGGAGTTTAAGTAGAAAATGTGTATATGTATAAATACCACATAATGAAACACAATGTACTTGAATAATAACTTCACTTAATACTATGATAATACGATCAAAATTTGAATATTTATAAATTTATATATCAATATTAAAACATATCTGATGTAATGTATATTCAGTTATGAATTATTTATTTATATTTCCATTTTGTATCTGATAAATGCTATTTTGGGGAAAAGAGGCGTGATTTCGTTTTGGTTTATTTAATTATAGCAAAATGCTCACGAGCTACATGTTTAAAGAAAGGGATGCTTTCATGGAGGATTTTCTTAGGGAAACTAGCTTGTATATACGTTACAAATATATAAAATATGAAAATGGCCCACTTGCCGGGATTCATACTCTGGACTGAACCACACATGCTCAGCAACTTTACCATTTGGCCATTGGTGGCCATTGAGGAAAAGGTGGATGTTATAATAAACTTTTAAAAAAGCTATTAGTATAAACCAATAGTGCAACATTTTAAAGAGATATCATAAAATAATAAGTGTAAATTCTTGATCACATCATTGGCCTAATTTAGCCTACAGTTGAAGAGCAAACTTTGCCTTTCCTCCCATGATAAAATCACTGCCATATGTATAAACATTTTTCTTAGATGCTAATATATTAAGCATCTAAAAAATTAATTTTGGAACTATTAATTTTGCTGAATGGTATAACAGATACATATTCTGAAGTTAATATTTAAAAATATGAAATAAAAATTACATGAAGTAATTTTGTAAGATTACTTTTTGTGAACATTCATTACAATGTATTAATCTAATTGCTTTTGCACATATACAACTGATTACAACAGATATATACATAATTCTAAAATGTGCATAAGAATACACATAACTGTAAGATAATCAGTTTTTATTGCTTATTATTTAACTAAAAATACATATCATGCCATTATAGAAAAGAAACATACACTAAAAATAATAAAATCACTTTTATAAACAAACCTTAGTTAACATTTTAATGGCAGCTTGGTTGAGAGGCATCTGGCCAGTCAAAATCAAAGCTTTCAGAGTACGTGCACACTGATCTGGTGGCAAATTCACAGCAGCTACAGCAGAACACATCTCAGCTATCTTTGTAACCTGTATTAAAAATGATAACAATAAAAATTTAAGAACATATTTATCCATTTTGATAACAGTTAAATTTTAATATTTGACTTGGAAAAAAAAAAAAAAAAAAAAAAAAAAAAAAAAAAAACTTTAAATGAATACGAAATTACATCATTATCAGTATCTTTGTGTGCTTCTAATATCCTCAGCAATGTGAGCTCTATATAGTCTTGGAAATAATCTGCTTTTGTCTTAATGAGTTCACGTAGTGCTTTCAGAGCCAATGTTTTCACAGAGACCTATAAATAGAAGCTTCATTAACAAATATAAGAAAAAAGAGTAAAAATTATATATACATTACATATTCAGACAGCGAGTGAGAGTAAGATTATGTGCAAAACCAAAAACGATTAGAATGCGCCAAACATGAGGTAGATGACATCTTGAATGAATGATGCTTTGAAATTGCTTACCAAATACAGAGGATGAAGTCATATAAAAACAAGGTGAAAGCACACATTAAAATACAATACACAATTTTTAAAGCAAATTTAGATAATAAAAGCCAGTCTCTTTTAAATAATAAAATAAATTACAATTGACCTCTCTTCCAATTAAACAGTCGAGAGAGAAGTCATAGCTATTAAAATATAGACCAACATTACAATTTAAACAAATAGAATCACTTTCAGCTTTCAGAAGATAGTTATTTGTCACTCTAGTGTGACCAATCCTGAAGCGAGCCAAAAGAACTTCCTCCTTACGATTTCTATTAAAATCCCAGTGCTCAATTTCGGGCCTTACAGTTCTCAACTTGTTGTGAAAAAATGGCAGCAACATCCCAAAGTTGCTGCCATTTTTTCCGGATCTTTTCCAGGGTTCATAGCCACATTTTAGTTAAAAAAATAAGCACCTATAAGCACTTTTCAAGCACATTTTAAGGAAAAAATACGCACCTGTCTAATTACATTATACACAATTGCATAACCTTAAAAGAAAAATTAGACTTGTAATTTAAAATATGAGCAATGCAATATTTATTAAGAGAATGAGCATTACCTCAACAATGGAAAACAATTAACTTTTTTTTAAATTTTAAATGACAGTTCAATTTACAGAATTAGTTTACAATGAGAAGAAAAAAAAAAAACTATGCAAAACTAAAATATATTACAAAATTTAATGATGATATTTCAGTTTGAAAATATAGAAAATAAATAATAATAAGCCATATTAATTGTATTCGTTTGGCACCTAATAATAAATAAAATTTATTTTTCCACTCATATTAATATTTAAATAATTTAACTTAAATCAAAATTCTGAACATTTTCTAAATTTTCATTGCATAACAGTTTTCCCTTAACATATATCCCAAGCAAAGTAATTTAAGTAAAAAAGAGGCACATTTCTGAAATCAGAAGACGGGAAATTGCTTCATTCAGTCATCCTTTAACAGTAAAAGCTTAACTAACCAGCATACTCGGAAATTCCCTAATTTTCCGGATAGTAACTGGAAAAAGAGGAGTGGGGGAGATTGTAGCCGTTCTTTAGATTTAAATTTAGGCTAAATAAATGATTTTGACATTTCGATATGTGCATCATATAAAAACCAACGGAACTGAGAAATATTCTGCTTAGAAAGCACATAAAACTCTTTTAAGTGTTCATAAACAAATCTCAGACTGAACATCAAAATTAATATCAAATCAACAGCTGCCAGTATTCGGCAAAAGAAGAACTAAATAAAAGAAAAAGAAAGACTTACTAATCTGGGGTGTTTCTGATTCTAATTTTCAACAGACTGTATTAAATTTCCGGAATAAAATCAATCTTCAATCTTCGCTTGGGTAGATACCGCAAAAACGTTTAGTCCTATTCAATCCAGGATTGGACAGTGACAAACAAACAAACAAACAAACAAACAAACAAAAAAAAAAAAAAAAAAAAAAGTCCGCTGCTTCAATATTAGAGATTTTGCGGAGAAACTCCCAACCTCCGTACTGTATAATGTATTGGCAAAGAAAATGAAATTATTTTGACTATTCGATTACTTTCCTTTTATTTAAGCCATTCCGAATATTATTCCCTAGAAAGCTAATCTGTGTAAAAACACACCCATTTTTGAAAGTTTATCTATACTTCAGCAGTTACTGCAATTATATTATTATAAATATTCATAAATATGCTCATAATATAAGCATAAGGATCATAATAAACATGAATATGAACTGACAACGCGGAACGAGAATGCAAATTTATTAAAATCTTGATAGAAATTCAAACGTGTGTAGTATTTGGGTGGGACGAAAAGAATACCGAATGTACCGGAATTTTCTAGGTTTTCACAATTCTTTGGCCAATAGAACGACGTGCACCTATCTGTACTCTCGTGCGCACCATAGGTTACATTAATGCAGAGGAAGGGGGGAAAAGCAATTTTCGAGAGTATGATTCACCATCTGACGTTGCATATAAGGAAAAAAAGTTGTTTATTTAGTTTCGGCTTTGGTACGGGAGAAAAATAAAAACAAAAAAATAAGGGCTTTAAAGAAAAAGTAAGCACCTATAAGGGCCTTTATATTTTATTTTCAAATATAAGGACTCATAAGCACTTGTAAGGACCGCTACGAACCCTGTTTTCTTTGATGGTATAGCAGATATCTCTAAAAGGGATGAGGCGACTGAACAGTTCAACAGCAAATTTTGCTGTGATATCTGCCAGCTCATTGCCTTTTATTCCTGCATGTTCAGGAACCCAGCAGTACAGGATTTCATATCCTTGACGCGTTAAGTGTATATGTATCTTGAGAACATCCACTATTACAGCATTCTGAGTGTCGTATAAAGCTTCTAATGCTTTCAGCGCACTATATGAGTCTATACACTGTATGAACTTCTTGTGACAGAGCTTTGAGATGTACAAAAAACCATAATATATTGCAGTTAGTTCTATGGATCATCCATTACAAAAGCCATTCCAACTTGAACATTTGACTTGGGTCCATCTGTATATATTGGAAGATAACTGCTATATTTAAGCCTGTGTGTGTGTGTTGTCTGTAAACGATGTCGTTAGTGCTTGCCTTCACATGATGGTTCAAAACATTAAGAAGCTGGATCCGTGCATTTTCCCAAGGTGGGATTTCAAAATTTTGCACTGCTTGGGGGCACATATCAGAGAGGGAGAGTTCCTCAATGACAGGGTGAACTCTTAAAGGAAAGGTAGGCACACAGGATGGATGTGTTTTAAATAAAATGTTACACACATTATCAAGTAAGCACAGCTTATTAAACTCCAGAACAAATCCGAAGAGCTTCATGGTGAACAGGACCTAGTTTTAACAACACTGACAACCGAGTGGATCCGTAAACAACTGACGCATAGTCCAGTCTAGAGCAAACAAGTGCTCTAGACTGGACTATTTTTACAGTCTGTAAATGTGAAGCGCTTGTTTGTACCCGAGAAGGTGTTCGCGCTTCGCTACAAAAGTGCACGCACAAAGTCTTATGTTTAGAAAATGTAAATCCCTGTTTGTCTGACAATTCTTGGATCTTATTCAGAGCCATCTGCAATTGCCTCTCTATGTATCTCATGTCTGTCCATCAACAGCTAATTTGCAGATCATCAACACAGTAAGAGGAGGTTCTTTTAATACAGAATTTATTTTTAAGCTCAACACGGTTACACTAAGTACACAGCCTTGAGGCACACCCTCTTCCTGTTAAGAAACATCCGACAAAACAGAGCCAATCTTTACTTGGAAAGTTCTAGGGCTCAAGAAATTCTGAATGAAAATTAGTTGGTTTCCACTAAAGCCACTGTCATGAAGATCTCGAAGTATACTGTATCTCCGTGCCTTAACATAAGCTTTCTCAATATCAAAGAATGCTGAGATAAGGTGACTTCTTCTTACATAAGCTTTTTGAATGGATGTCTCTAAAAGGAACATGTTATCTACGGTTGCTCTTCCCTTTTGAAAACCGCTTTGATAAGGCGATATAATATTATTCTTTTCCAAGAAGTAAACTAGGTGGCTGTTTACCATTTTTTTCAAAGAGCTTGCATACACAACTCGTAAGGGCCAATTGGCCGATAGTTAGAGGGATTCCTTGGATTTTTCCCTGGCTTAGCAATAGGAATCACAACAGCTCTCTTCCATGCACTGGGAAAAGTACGCTCCTTCCACACTCTATTGTAAAGAGTGAGAGGGGCAGTCAGTGACTTATAGGACAGATGCTTCAGCATTTCGTGATTCACGCCATCAAGACCCGGAAAAGACCTATGTGTCTGCAACAAACCTCTCCTTAATTCAAGCATAGTAAAGTCTCTATTATAAGGCTCAGATTTGGAAGAGTTGAATGCGATAGGATTTCTTTCAGAGCACTGCTTCATAGAGAGAAATGCAAGTGAATAGTTTCCGCTGGAAGAAATAGCAGCAAATGTCTCACCAATAGTATTCGCAATTTCCCCTATAGAGGTAATCACTTGGTCATCTCTTTCCAAAAAGGAAAGTGAGTGCTCTTTATATACACTGCTCGACATTGAAAATGCAACACCAAGAAGGAATGCTCATAAATTTATGCAAATTTTAGAGTAGACGCACATCACTGAGTTATGTGAATGATGTGAAATGTGCAGCTCTCCGACACACGTGAAGTAAGATATAAGGGAAGGAACGCGCAGATTGGGCAACGTTCGTGTCGTTATTTCTGCCAGAGAAATTATCGAAGAAAGCTGGTTTTTGTCCCGGAGGATACATGTAACAGGAGAGAATGCCAGGCCGCCGTCAACGAAGGCACTTCCAGAAGATAGATGATTTTACAAAGGGTATGGTGATCGGACTGAGAAGGGCAGGTTGGTTCTTACGCCAAATCGCAGCTGATACCCCTATGGATGCGACCACGGTGCATTGGCTATGGTGAGCATGGTTGGAACAAGGAAATGTGGGAAGAAGATGTGCAGCCAAAGCGATGTCAGCTGGCGTGGATCGATGCATCTGCCGACAAGCTGTGGCGGACCCGCAAGTCACTTGTACTGCGATTCTGCAGCATGTGCAAGATACCCTGGATGTTCCCGTGTCAACCAGAACCATTTCCTGTCGATTGGTCGAACGTGGCCTGCACTCACACCGTTTGTTAAGAAGACTGCCATTGACCCAACAGCATAGACACCAACGTTTAGAATGGTGCTGGACTGGAGCGATGTCGATGGCAGAATGGCGAAACGTTGTGTTCTCAGATGAGTCATGCTTCTGTTTATCCAGTGACAGTCGTCGCATACATGTGTGGCGTCGACGTGGAGACAGATAGGATCCAGCAGTAACTGTGGAACATCCCACCGAATGACAACGTGGCATAATGGTTTGGGGGCTATTGCTTATGATTTCAGGTCACCTCTAGTTCGCATTCAGGGCACTATGACGGCCCAATGATACTTTGATAATGTACTGCGGCCGGTGGCAATTCCCTACCTTCAGGGGCTGCCTAATGCAATTTTCCAGCAAGATAACACCCGATCACACAATGCTTGCATCTGCCAACATGGTCTGCAAGGTATACAGATGCTTTCCTGGCCACTGTACTCTCCTGACCTGTCACCAATCAAAAATGTGTGGGATGTGATGGATGCCGTTTGCAGAGTCTGCCCCTGCCTCGTTCAGAAGACGAACTGTGGCAAATGGTTGAAAGGGAATGGAGAGTCATCCCTCAGGACACCATCCGTACTCTTATTGACTCTTATGCCTAGACGTGTTTCTTCATGCATTGCTGTCCACGGTAGTCCTACATCCTACTGAGCTGATGCCGTTCTTGCTTTGTATTCTGACTATCATTTTGAAATAAAGATCACTTACTTATTGCTGCTTGCTGTCTCTTTTCCAAATTTCACCACTTTTTGACCACTCCTTTTTGGTGTCGCATTTTCGTCGAATAAGTGGTATTTTTTTTAAATTCCAAATGACCCTCTTGTTTTGCACTTTGATTCCCCCTCCTCCCAACATAAAACCAGATCCATTAGGAGCTGGCAGAAATTTTCGAATATAACAAATTGGAAAGCTATCTTCAATAAGGAATTTTTTGTCCATAACCCTTAGAGGATTAATTTTCTCAGTACAGCATATTATTATCGATTTATTTTAAAATATGTTAATGACATCAGCCTATATGGGAATGAATGCAAGTTTGACAATTCAAACAAATATTTGACAACAAAGTGTTATCAAGAATTTTTAGATATTTCTTATGGAAAAAGACAGATATAAGTTAGATATAAAGTTAGATGTTATACTGCATGTCAAAATATTTTGCTTAACTAAACATTTTCCCTTAGAAGCTTGCAATAAATAAATATAATAAGCAGCAACCCTTTGAGGTACAAATGAAATTAAAGTGCAGGTAGTGTAATATGAAATGGCTAACCACATTCTTTCAACCATCCTCCATAGCTTGCGCTTTGATTCAGGCTGGGATAGATCAAGCAAATGATAGACAACAATGTCTCATAAATTTCAAATGGTTGAGATCTGAACACGTAGGTGGTTAAAGACACATATGGGTGCCTTACAAGCTTGTTTGCTGATGTCTGTCATGGGCAGTTGAATATTATCTTGCTAGAAAAGAGCATTTTGCATTCATTACAGGAAGGGTAATGCAAGCAGCTATAAAACTCCTACCCTGTACCATTGTATCTCTGATAGATGACCAACTATCTATGGCAATGGAACCTGAACATTGTGCTAACTTTCAAACAGTATAGTATTCAACAGTTTCAGCAGAAGGTAACCTGTCTCCACATTGCTTTAACATTCTTACTCAGGAACTATCACTGATGAAACAGAAAAAAAGACTTGTTGCTACTACCTTTAACCATTCAGTCATCTCAGAGGCTGTGCCTTAATTTTATTGTCATTGGCATTAATGGTTTTGTGTCAACAGCAGTCTGTGTAAAGGCTTGTATGACTGCATTTTGCTTTCATCTACAGTCTAGAAAACGTTGTTGCTGATACTGGAGTATCCAAAGCTCTCCACACAATCTGCATAATGTTGACAGTTGTGCTTTGCAGGCATGCAACTGCATGTTTTCAGATACAAAAGTATACTAACAAACAGCTAGATGCATCAAAATTCCTAGCATGATTTACATTTCCTTCTTCAATCTGTCTCCTCCTAATCCTTTTGTGCTGTTGATGCACATAGGTGTGTTAAGCTGCAATACTATGGAAGGACTAATCAGTGATTATTAGACTTTAAATGAAGCCCTTCGTGAAAACATCTGACTGCCAAAACTAACCAATTTCCATGGCATCTGCCAAGTCTTTCTTCAACTATATGTGTCTTCTGAGGTACATATTTATGTTATGTACTGCATACATTGTATATATATATATATAATCTTACTGTCACATATTTATTATTAGACATTACTCTGAAAATACAAAAAGCTATTGTATATGAGAAGAATCTCTGCCACTCTCAAAACTGAGTCTGTTCTCTGACAGAGCATCTTTAGGAGCCACCACAGGAGGTGCTGGTATTTCTAGATAGTGGAAAATGAGGCATAAATACTGCTTACTCCTGTTAGACATAAGGTATCACCATCTTCCATCATCTGCACTTTCTAAGATGAACAGCTAGAAAACTAAATTTCCCACAGCAACAGAGTGTAACAACTTTTGATTCATTTGATGTTTTCCTTCCTTTTATCTCATTAACTTGTCGTGACAAAGTTGCATTTCTGATCATTTACATAAGTTGTTCAGCTGTGTAATCCTAGCAATTGGCATAATTACATAACTAAATCTTCCTGGTGTTGCATTTTCTTACACAGATAACGTATTTTTCATAGAGCTAGACATAGATACTTCAGTGCAGTGGAATTTTCAAATTAATTGTTAGTGTTCTCAGTCTGTTGTGCCAATATTTCAGAGAACTTAAATTAAATTTCACATTTAAACTACAAATGCTTGCGAATTCTGCTAAAATATATATATAACACACTTATAAAACTAACGCTACAAACACTCTTAACATAAAACATACAAAAATAACACAGCCAAGACCTTTATATATAAGAATGAAAGAAAATACATTTTACAATTTAAAAGAAAAATGTGAATTACCGATGTATCTTCTACAGTCTGTATCACTTCAAGTAAGATCTTCCGAAAATCTTCATTTGAGATGATTGAAGACTGCTCTTTGGCAAGGCTAATTAATCGACCTAAAGCATGTATTTTCTTTTCATTCCTAATTAAGAAACAAAGATATATACATTTTTAAGCTTCTAAAGAGAAATTATAGTGAGCAGTTAGGTAACCGAAGAGACTGTAGTATAAGGAATAAGGATTACACGAACATTTTTAATCAATACATTAAAAGCAATAAATAAATAAATTAAATAAAAAATTACAATGATTTTGCTTTTTGTAACATAAATTAACTAAATTCCCAGAAACAAAAGACAGGAATAGAAAAAAAAAAATACATACATTTAATAAATAAATAAAACATAATAGAAATTTAATATTTATGTACATGATTAAAAGTGTTACTAACCGAGAGCTCTGATTAAGTTCATCTACAATGGAGTATATGGTTCTGTGATCTGAAAGAAAAACAATACAAGAATCAGTCAAGAGGAGTTACAAAGTATGCTCTCATCAGATAAATAATCATACCTACTTTTTAGTAGGATGATTTGCATCCTAATGTCTAATGTAAAAAATGTGAATAATAGCTCTCTTGTTAGTCAAATGTTGACATGCCAGCAAATAAAATATGATAGTGAGCTTGTAATTTACAAAAGTTACTTTTTATTACAATTACAACAGGAACAGAATTGAAGTGAAATTTCAATGTTATTTATTTGTTAAATGTTGCATATTTTGTATGAGACGTAGCTAATTGTGGAAGCTAGATGTTGTCAACTACAAAAATAAAAGTTGTATAACTTACCCCCCCCCCAAATGTTTTTATCCATAGCCAAAATGTAAGCATATATTAAAATTGAACTGTCACAAAATGAGCAGCAATTATGAATTTCTTCTTCTTCTTCACAAGCACAACAGCCGCTTGCAGGCCTTGGCGGCCTCAACGATGTTCTTCTTCCATTGCCTTTTGCCAGCAGTGAATCCTATCCAATTTTTAATTTTCAAAATCCTCTAACCATTTAATCACTGGTGTAATCCTTCAGCTCGAGATCTCTCAGGTTGTTTAAATGTCAATGGTCAGGCTATGGGGGTATTTGTGCTTCTTACAGCATCTTGCTCTATATGCCCAGTTTCTGAGGCTTTTATTAGGAATCAGTAGTTTATATAGAAGGTCCCAGTGTCCAGCGTCCATTCCTCTTAATTCTGTATACCGGTGTTGTATTCTTCAACCAATAGCCAAACACAATAGCTATGATTAGTGGTCGTTTGGTGAATGTTTTGTTAGTCAAGAGGCGGGTAGCTTATTAATTTAAACTTAATTTTATCCTGCGCTTATCTTCAAGTAAATATGGCTAACATATAGGAAAGAATTGATTGATGTTAATAAAGTTGAGTTTTTTATGTATTATGGATTGGTATTATTGTGGGGAAACAAAGAAAAGGATAGATTTTCCTTTGGATTATTTTTTGGTTTAAAATGAAAACTTAAAATGGTATTAAAAAAGTGTTTTTTTGCGTGGGAAGTTATTAGTTAAGAGGATAGCCAATTGGAATTATGAAACGGCATCCCATTCATTAATTAACATAGAGAGAAAAATTAATGAGACGTCAAGATTGATCAAATTATTGAAAAATCAAATCCACAAGAAGTCCATAAGAGATGGAGAGTGCAGAAAACCTAAGGAGAACAATGAACAAAAGGAAAAAAGAGAAGAAAGGAATAGACAGAAACGAGGAAGACCTCTAAAACAGAAAACAGATCATCCAAACACAAAAGCTTGAAACAGGGCATATGCAATACAGAAAGATGCAAAAAAAAGATTTAAATTAAGACAATAACCGCCAAATAAATAGGATCAGAAGTCAACCAAAACAGGGAATTACAAAATTTCAAAGACTATCAGGTTTTACGAAACCACCATCCTCAGCTGCAAAACCGCAATGAACAAGATATGGAAATAATTGATTAGATAGATAGAGAGCTTGGAGAATAAGCATCTTGTCCAAGCTCTAATCATTATTCCTATCTTCTTATCTAATCATTATTTCCTATCTTGCATCAAATTGAATTATCAAATTATTTCATTTCTTTGCATTGAAATGATGTGAGCAATTTCTCTCACTAACTCTGTTTGAAACAAAAAACATTTTGTTTTTCAAATAATATTACAAGCAAACTGAGGGATTAGCCATGGGAAGCCCCTCAGTCCCATCCGCTGATATCTACATGCATATTATGAATCAAAATTGTTTGAACCGTAAAACTTCCCGGCATGGTTCCGCGTAGACATACTTTTACCCTGTTGAAGTAATAAAGATGATTTAATAAAGCTTTGAATTTATTGATCCCTATTCAGTTCATTTTGAACTTGAAACTGAAATTCTCTTCCATTTCTCAACATTCGGTCACACGTAACACATCCAACTTCATACTACGGTTACCGAAACCTTTCATCGTTTGCCTTCCACCACACTTTAAATCATGTCATCCGACTAAACAAAGTTAGCTTCATTTTATTCCTATGTTTTCCGTGCTCTTTCAAGTTTGCTCCTCCAAATAGCCCTTGATGAAGAACTAAATTATTTAAAAGCAATAGCTATTGACAGGGCTTTTCACCCAACATTATTAATCAAGCAGTTAAAAATTCTCATCTCAACACACTAAAATGCACACCTGGGTTTAGGAGATTATAAAAATTCTGTTGTCATTCCCTCTTTCCATCAATTAGCTATAAATTGCCATATTTGCAGAAATTTAACTTTCAGTTGTTTATTCTCCCATCAATAAATTCCGAGTTCCTACTCAAGAACCCCATTCCGATATGAATTCCTGGGGTATTTATAGGATTCCTTGCCAGTGTGGTTTAATTTACATTGGCCAAACTAAGAGAGCCTTAAAATTTCACATCAAGGAACATGAGGCATATGTTAGAAAAAAGGAAACACAGAAGTCTTCTGTTGCTCAACAATTGTTGGTCCGAAAATCACACTTTCAATTTTTCTGCTACCAAAATTATTCAAAAAACATCTTGCATTGGAGAACTGGATTTTCTAGAGGCATTTCACATTCATAAAAATCTTTCTGTTCTAGTAATGATCCTAATTCCAATCCAAATTTGCCTTCGGCCTTTAAAGAAATTATGTTTTAGTTCTGGTTTCACCAACAGATGGCACCACTTGCCTATTCTTGTCCAAGCTCTCTTATCTTATCTAATCATTATTTCCTATCTTGTTCATTTGCGGTTTTGCAGCTGAGGATGGTGGTTCGGTAAAACCATCGAAACTAGTCCTGTGAAAATTTTGTAAATATAACGCTGATTTTTGTTGTTTGACTTCTGAATTAAGATTTAAATTATTAAGAAATGTGTTCATTTCTTCTAATCATTCGGTTTATTAAGTATTACAAGTTCATTCAATTTGAATTATAAATTAAATATTTTAAATCTTACAAAATGGTAAGCTTGAGAATTGACTGTGCTCAAAGCCATATGAAAGATAAAGTTAAGATCTTAAATGATAAACAGTTGCTAAGAGGTGGGAATGATAAATGCATCCTAACAAAATACAACACAAAAATCTTAAAATTTCAGACATTAAACTGATATGTCAAACAGTAAAATATGGACAAACAAATAATATATCCTTTAGAAAGTAAATGATACAAAATATTATTTAGAAAGAAGTATGCAATCTTTTAGATTGAAAAACTGCTAGCGCTGGCTGCCTATGCATATAATCCATAACTTTCAGCAGGTGATCAGATTGTCAAGTGCTTGAGAATAAAAGCATTAAATTTTACAAACATTGTTTCTATACATATAATCAGCTGAAAAAATGAGATGCTTTGCTATTTCATAGAAGAAAATTACCTTGTGCTAGCGCAACATGGGAAATTCATACTTATATAAATTATATCTGTAACTAAAGTTGTGTTACACACTGCTCAAAAACCATTTTTTGGATAAAAAAAGTCATCACTTTCCTAACATTTGATATGTCTAATTTCCAGATATATTAGTGTGATTTTTTATTCCTGAGCCACCTGAAAGATCTGATCTGCGGTGAAAATGCAGCATTTTCAGTAGATGAGGAGGAACATATATTCTGTCACATACGCAATATTTCAAGGCATAAACTAAGCATGATTGCTGAACATGCTATTTTTTGAGTCTCAAAAGGTAGGTTACTGGTTATCATTGTTTTGCCTTACTTACAATACCCACACTGCAGTTTCACATCAAATTTTGAATAAATGATAAATAAATGAATAAAGAACAAACACATTGAAAATAATTTCTTTCATCTGCCCTCAGTTTACTTTCCTATTAATACATTAAGATGATTGTAAAATTTCATAGGTTTCTGATGTATACTTACAGCTGTAGAGGAATTGGATGAATTTTAATTATAGACACAATTTTAAAATGATTTGCAACAATTTTGTGGTTACTAATATAGCGAAATTTGGCCAATAAATGATAAATGTAAAGCAGATAAACATAAAGTACATAGAAAAACATAATAAATCATAAACTTCTGCATCAAATAAATAAGTCCAAACATACTGGATTCTCATGCAGCATAAATTTATTAATTGCCTATTTTTGACATAAATTAATAAGCTGTCATGGAATACATAATAATAATAAAATAATTTCTTAAATGCCAAAACTTAACACATTAAGTCTGTCTGAGATTATGTTATGGGTTTATAAAGTTAGAGATAATAAGAGCTTGATTTACGAGTTTATAAAAGATACTAATGATTTTTATAATAGTGGTTGGTTTGTAATTTGAATATTCCAAAGAACACATGAGCTATCTGCCTAAGGAGAGAGATGCCTTTTGTGAAAGGCATCTCTCTCCTTAGGCAGATAAGGCAGATATAAGAAGCTGGCATTACAGGTGAGGAAAAAGATGAAAACCAGCCATGCAGCCAGCCCATGACATGATTTCCAGCATTCAGTACACTTTAACTGCTCGACCACTTATAAGTTCTCATGCAAGTTTTGTTGCCATTATTTGCTTACATGATTTCTGTTTTATACATATTTGTAGTCAAATAAAATTATTAAGAAGTTAAAGTTTTACATACTGATTCTTCAGCATTGTCTTTCATTTCCTCCAAAAAAGAAACATCATTAAATAAGTCACACAAACATTACAAAGAAGAGCTTATGTAACATTAACACATAAAAATAGAAATCTTTATTACTGTTAATCAACAAACCATCAATTTCATTATCAGCTTCAGAGGGAGTTTCTGATGTTTCTTTTTCATAGAGAATTCCTTCCTGTAAATGAATTTAAAACTTACATTTAAATCCTATATGAAAAATTTCAAATTATTACAAATAATAAATAACTATATTATCATACTGAAATGCTAATTTTTTCAATAATTTCTTTTTTCCCTTTTTGGTTGTTGTCGTTGTTAAACCTAAAATCCTCACACAGCAAACTAGATTTCCTTCATAGCATTTCATTAGATAAATAATAATCATAGATTTTATAAGTGTTCCTCACTTTTATTCTGTTAGATTAAGTGTTAAGGAACCTAGTGAGCTGATAAGCAAATAATCGCTCAAGTCCAAAAACAAAGAAGGGTTAATTACCCTTTATTTCACTCAAAATATGATTTAACAGTCGGCCCCCCTTCTCAAGATGTACAGCAAAGCTACCATTTGGGCTTAAAATTTAAGAAATAAGATCTAACTAATGCCTAACTAGAGATTTAGCTGATGCTAACACAATTCTAAACTAGTTGGCGTGTAATATTGACTAATATAACGAGCGAACCATCAAAAGGCTCGTAATACAGCTGAGCGTAGTAAGTAACACTCCTTAGGCAGACATAGAGAGACATAGCCCACATGCAAACGCAAGTTACTCACGAATTATCCCTCTCTCTGGTTAAGTCAGTTGAACTTGACTTAAATACTATTCTCTTTATCATTTGCATTTAATGTGATTCTAAAAACTCATTCTGTTAGGGAGCTGTAAGTTGAAAACAAGAATTGACAGGCAAAGGTTTCAAAATTAAAAATAACTGTTATAAAATTAAAATATACCTTACAACTTATTCAAACTGAGACAGTCTTGAATATTCATTTTAATTATGAAACTAAACATATACTGTTAACAGCAAAATAAGAAATATTAGTACTACAAGCATATCCATAATTCATGAATACATGGCCTCAGAACTTTTTCAACCATATTTCTGAATGCAATGAAATGCAAGAAATATTCACTCTGCTCCCTGCTAAAGAAAGTAAAAACCCAAATTAGTTGGTTATCAGGAAGCAATGTATTTTTACTATTGTAATTTTCCTCCTTTTCAATATCACTAGGTCAGTAACAGACAGATAGCACTTAAATTCCATAATATTTCCATAAAATTTTGCAAAATACAGTTTTTATACAATCGTATATTTCGAGTTCATTCCTGATAAATAAAGATGATTTTTCAAATCTACAGACTATGATTTGCATGACCCTAAATCCTTTTCTACCATCTCAGAAGTCTATGTATCCTTTAGTGGTCATTATGATTACAAAAGATAAAAACTGAGGAAATTTTGCATACTCATATTTTTAATATAAATAAAGGAAATTAAAAAATTTTTTTAATCTAAGAGCTATGATATTCTTCATATAATAAAACACAGGGGGGATACAAGTCCATTAGTTAAATCAGATATCTTTCATTTTTTTTCAGTCACAAATAAAATAATTGCACAAAAAAATAAGCACCACAAATTTTTCCAACAACCATTCTTTTTTACAATGTTAAAAAATAAATAATGCATATAGGTATATAAATGCTCAAATATCAAACATTATTCCAACACTAGTTTTGTTTTATTAGGTGCAGATTAAATATCAGAAGGTAACAATGTACTTTAAAACATCTTTATTTATACATTTATAGGAAAACAAAGGAAAATTATAATTCTTTAATATGCAAAAAGCTTTATTTTTTGCTATGCAACTCTTTTGAAAAAATTAATTTTCTACAATATTACCTCAATTCATGACATTTTGTTAAATTTTAAAATCAAATATAAGCAACAACATTACTGGTGAAAATACAGTCAAAAGTCGTTAATCCGGACTTGTCGGGACTTCGGCGATTCCGGATTATCAATTTTTCCGGATTATAGATCATCAGTTTAAATCTCGTAAGATGGCATGCAGAAATTCTAAAATTAAAAATATGAAACCGAAACCGTAATTATGAAATAAAGAACAATTATGATCTAAAGGGTATCAAAATTTGCAAAAGAAAAAGCTTAATATTTATTTGTTTACTTTATTAAACATTTCTTTCAATGTAAGTTGTTTAAGTTTTGCTTCGTTTCATGTGATAATACTTTCTCTTTAATTCTATTAAACAGACATAATTTCTTGTTCAGTTACAAAGTTCCGCTGTTCAAGTCCTATAATTGCTGTGTCGAGAACACTGACTAATTTGTCAATCGAAATTTTTTCGTTTTCAATAACCTCTGTCACTTTCTTCGCTATCGGAAGCGAATCATAATGACGAGGAACTTGTTTTAAATCATATCAAAGACGGAGCGTATTGAGATGAAATACTACATTTAGTAAGGAACTATAAGCCAAATAAAATAAAAACATCTGCGCTGAAGATAAGGATAGTGCTGACAGATCAACTTCCAATTCATTACGCGCCCGCCGCGGCGTTCGCCCCGCCGAGCAGCGTGAAATTGATAAACAGATTTCGGATTTCAAAACACACTTTCGCTTTAGATCCTTACATTTAACAAATATATATCGGAAATTCTATTTGATATAATCGAAAGTTTAAGCTTACTTTTATAAAATTGCTCTTACAGTCTGCAAAAAATAATAAGCCGGATCCAATTCGAAAATTAAGGAACAACTCAATCATCAACATTAACTGAAATAGATAATTAGATAATTTTAGCTCATACGTCCATTATACATAAAACGCGCACGCGAAAACGTATTCTGCACTTGCGCACACTCATATGCGCAGTCGTAAAAGGTCTTATGCGCACGCGTAAAGGCCTATGCGCATGTGTCAACGCGGTGCATGCGCAGAAAGTTTTTAGTTTTGAGGTCCGGATTATAGATCATTCCGAATTATGGGTGTCCGAATTAACGACTTTTGACTGTAACAATTTTTATGCATTCAAATCAACTGGGATCGATTTAGCTACAAAATATAATTAAAGATCCTCAACACACCCCCCCCGCAAAAATAAATAAATAAATAAATAAAAAACTTTTCAATATAATCCTGCATTTAAGGAATTAAGGAATGATTCAAGTACTTACAGTTCTAGAGAAATTTATGCTACCATAATCAGATGGAGATCTTTTAGTGGGCGATGAATCAGCACTGGAATCAAGTTCTAGGCGATCAACAAGATTGTCAAAGCGACCATCAAGACTATTGTGCCTTGAACTGATGCTGCGAGAAGGTGATTCTCGAATTATTTTATCTGAAAATTTATCATAATAATCATCTGATTTATATTCCTCTATCTCAGACATAGTTTTCTTCCATGAATTACTGATTTCTTCAGGATTTAAGTTTTCAGTGTCATCATATTCAAAAGATCTGTTCTGGGGTGTACCACTATGACTCCGAGGCCTGAGAAAGAAAATAAATGAGAATGACAATGAAATTCTCAACTGAAAAACAAATTAAAGTTATTAACATCTGCACTTCCATATATGACATAATAAAAACATCTAAAATACTAAGAGTCACTTGAGAAACTTTTGTTGCGTAAAAGATATAGACCAAAATTTTTAATTTTTTAAGCCTTAGCTCTTCAATAATTTTCAGATACTGAAGCATCAAAATTTTCTTCATAATCAAATAATTTACAGCTGACAAGATTTCATGGATAGTTTTCTGAAAAAATATTTTAACAGATTTGATTGTATTTGTGTACATACACAGACATTGGATATGCATATAAGTTTAATAAGTTTAAAATGTATTTATTTACACACATGCATTATACATCTTAATTTTAAAACAAATGCTAATGATCATTTTTAATTCCATTATTTTTCATCCCTTCTGGTTGAAACAAATGAAAATAGATTTTTATCTTTACAAATATGAAATAAAATGTTAAAATTATAAAAACTGCAATTTTACTTGGTTTAGTGTTTGAATAATTCTAAACAAAGAAACCAAATATTAAAACATACTTTCCAATATATTTCATTCAAGAACTAAACTGAGAAAACAGAAAATTACCATGGTGAATTAGGAGACTGAAGATGTGACATCACAGGACACGGAGAAGTTCTATTCCCAACTGACCTAGGAGTCTCTGAATTAGAACGAGGATAGCGAGAATGCAGTAGCTGAAATGCACTGTCCTGAAATATTTTGAACAATATTTTAATGACATAATAACAGCTACTGAAACAAATATATTCAGTATTAAAATGTTCTAATACTAAAATTAAATTCAACAATAATATGCAGAAACTAACTGATATTTTGACATCAAACTAACTGATTGATAACAACAATGTATACATAAATAAAAATTTTTTATAAAACAATCTTTAATCCAATAAAAATGCAGTTAACTGAACTTGTTCAGATGATTTAGTAACTGCCTTTTTCAATAAGCAAATTCATTACAAAAATTTTAGAAATTTTAGAAAAATTTTACTAATAACAGATATATGTTTGACCTAAAGCCATATTTCTTCTTACTTAGTTTTTAAAAAATCTTAATATTTAATTTCTTTTCTTTTTAAATTTTATCACTTTATTCTTTCTCTCTCGCTCTCTCTCTCTTTTTTTTACATGCAAAAATTAATTAGATTATGACTCAGTGGTTAAAATCATTTTGGTGAAGTTGACATATTTTCTCATGAAAGCATTTTACCACAATTTTGCATAGTCTAACATACTTTTGCAATAATTTTTACAGGCTAGCACTGTATTTCAGAAAATATTTTGTGGTAAAGACATATTTAAATTATACAAAATTAAAGCATCCGAGTTGGAAGAAATATTTAAGTTTTGTCTCATACTTACTTTACAAATTTGCTACTCCAAGGAAGCAGCAAATTTTTTTAAATGAGCAAGTTGATGCGGCAAAGATAAAATTAGATTTATCACAATATGCATTATTTATTGGTACATCAAAATCATCATTTTCAGACATCAAATTTTGTTCCATTTTACTTTGAAGGAGCCTTAAATATTTATCTTTTGAAGTGACTACAAACCTAATACAAACTTTAATAGTTTTGTTGAACTCATCTGTAAGCACATATGTTTACAAAATACATGTTTACGCAACATATTTGCAAACTAGATAAAATTTCATCTATTATTAAAAACAAGAAATTAAGAAACTAGTCAATACAGTCAAAAGTCGTTAATCTGGACACATATAATCCGAACCACAAAACTACAAACTTTCTGCGCATGCGTCAACGCATATTGCGTTCACGCATGCGCGTGATGCATTATGCGTTGACGATATATTTTATTTTATGCATGCGCATAATACGTTTACGTAAGCTAAAATTATCTATTTCAGTTGCAGATTGTGTTGTTCCTTAATCTTTGAATTGGATACGGCTTATTATTTTTTGCAGACTGTTAAAGCAATTTTATAAAAGTAAGCTTAAACTTTCGATTATGTCAAACAGAATTTCCGATGCTGGAGCTGCCAAAGGATCTACAAAGTGAAAGTATGTTTCGATGTCCTCAAACAAAAAGTGGAATTGCTGCAAAAAATAGATAAAGGCATATCCTTTGTTTCTCTAAACCACCCGAAATCTGTTTATCAATTTCATGCTGCCTGCATGGGGGGGGGGGCGACGCGGCGCACAATGAACTGGAAGTGATCTGTCAGCACTTATCTTTCAGGCAGATGTTTTATTATTCAATTTATAATTCCTTACTAAATGTAGTATTTCATCTCGATGTATTCGGTCTTTGACATGATTTAATGAAATTCCCCGTCATTATAAATATCCCGAGTGCACATCAAATAGTTTTCTGGTTGCAATTTTCTAATTTCGAAACTATGCATAATGTATGCTTTACGCACGCGCCGTTGAAAAAATGTTAATAAAGTAAACAAATAAGTATTAAGCTTTTTCTTCTAAATTTTGATACCTTTAGATATAATTGCTCTTATTTCATAAATTACGGTTTATATTTTAATTTTATAATTTCTGCATGCCATCTTACCAGATTTAAACTGATGATCTATAATCTGGAATCGCCGAAGTCCCGACGAGTCCGGATTAAAGACTTTTGACTGTATGTTGGAAACTCCTTTCATAAGTGAAACTAATGGTTTGGATAACTATGTAAGTAAAATATTTACGGTATGTTTAAAAACAAAATATGATAACAGAAAAAGTGATACCAACATTAAGTTGGTACATATGGTACTTTTAAAAAATGGTGAATACAATTAAAACTGATTTCAGCTATACAGATAATGCATAATTGCTGACAGAAATAAATTTACTGAATTAAGAAAATGCAAGCAGTTAATTTAAATTTTCTCTTCGGTTACAATTCTAGACATTTTCTTTTAAACACTTTTGCAATATATGTGCACTTGAAGAATTCTCTTTTACCTCTGAGAAGATCTTCAACTGATATTTCATAAGAAATGATACCTGTTTTCTCAGGCAATTCTTGGGAGACTTGATGATATTTTATTTTTGCTTCTTTCTTGTTTTCTCACACTTTTACACTTTCAGGTAGCTTTTATCAGACAATTCCTTTTGACATTTTTTTCGGGGGGGGGGGAAGAGGTAAGTTAAAGATGTTTCTTTCATATGTTTTCCTAACTTAGCACCTCAGAAACTTTAACGATTGTCAAACCTTAATATATTCAAGCATTAAATAAGCAAAAACTGAATATTGGGTGAAATCACTATTATTCCAATATCTCATTAAATTTGATACCAACTAAAAATCAAATCATAAATTAAAATTTTGTTGACATTTTAAATGATTAATTCAGAATCTGAACAATAATTTTGACCATTTAAGCCCCCTTTCATGGAGGATGAAAGGAACACGTGAATCAGTACCTATAGTAAATTCAATAGATTTACCACCTATAAACCTCCCCAAAAATAAATTGAAACAGTACCTCTCTTAAATGTAGTTACCATTTTAGAATTATACTAATTAGAAAATGCTCAAAATTATGCACTTTCTGCTTCATTGAAAAGAATACACATATTTATTTTGTTACAATGAAATAAATTAATTTCTACTTCAGTCATTCGTGCATTCTAGAGTGAAGCAAGGTAAAAACAAAAAAAAAAAAATATTTCATATGAAGAAAGAACAGAGGAAGGGGGGTAATGTTACCCGCGTCCGTGATTATCCTTAAGTCACACGTGCCCCCTGGGTGGTGCTAAATGGGTAACTGTCACAAAGTCCTGTGGCATACTGGGGTTCAGTGGGATGAGGTTCGGTCTGATGATGAGTAATCTTATGACGACCCAACGGACCGCTCTTCCCTGGGAAAACCGGCGATTGTGGGGAGGATTTGAAATTCCGAGGACCTTTGATCTGGAGAGGAGGGGTCTTGGAGGAAGCAGCCATGTAGAGGATACAGGAGAAAAGCTGAGTTTTGCGTCTCAGGCCGCCAGATAGTACAGGAGCCCGGGGCAACCTAACAGCCCACATGTCCTGGCTGCTCTATCAGCTGGTGTATAATCTCGCCTGCCTTGTAGTTCCAGGTGGTGCCTGGGTGGGATCCTGCATGGCAGAGCGGGGGGCTCTTCCGAGGTCACTACTGGCTGCTGAATCTGGGGCTAGTCCCTCCAAACTGGCTCTTAGAAAATCGGAAGGAATTTTTCTCCCCCTTCTTCAATCTTTATACCAAAATGGATGCTTGTAATACAAAATTAGATAAAAACGCATTTTCTGAAATCCCTACTATAACCACTGTAATTCCTTCTGAGGGAGTGAATGTACCCTCGGGTGCGGACGCTCTTCTCTTTAGGACTACAGAAACCAGAACCGCTGGTGAAAGGGTGAATGTGCCTTCGGACACGGACACCTTGAATCCAGTGGGGATGGATACTGACTCCTCTGTCAGAAGTACTGTGCCAGATGCGCAAGCGGATGACCAGTCACCAATGATGGAGGTTGTAAATAAAAAAAGAGAAAAAAGCCAACGCCAGAAAGCGCGGAAACGACTGGAGAGGGCCATGGAAGGAATCTCGATCTCTGGGGGAGAAGGGAGCGAAAAAGAAAAACAGATAAAGCTGGGACCTCTGGAGCAACCTCCAAAACCGGTGAGGAAGAACCATCCAAGCAATGAAGAGTCTCGTAAGAGAGAGAGAGAACGCATTGCTGGTGACACCCCGGAAATGGCCCTCAAGAAATGACGGCTATATAGTCAAGCTGCAAGAAAGGCAATCACTCTGCGAATCGTCTGCAAGGATGATTCCAGAGACATAAACATCGGTGGATTCAGATTTCATCACCTCTATAATTGATGATCAAATTATAGATGGCTCTATCACCACCTGCAGGGTCCACAAGACAGTCCTGCAGCCGAATGGCCTCAACATTGCATGTGAGGACCAGGAGACTGTGGACGTCCTGAAGACTTTAATTAATGATCTACCCGGCCCTGAAGAAAACCATCCAGGTTATCATGCCATGGCTCCCGGAGACAGACCTCCCATGAAGAGGTTTTTCGCTTGGTTTCCTGGAAACAGGTCACCAAAAGATAACATCAAGCTCCTTGATGCCTGCACAAGGGCCTTGATGTTTAAGAAGATCGCCATCAAGGCAGTTATCCCTGGAGACGGAGGTAATACCTTGGTGCTGGGAGTAGAACATGAACTTATGGATTAATCTGGAGGCCCAGAATTTCAAACTTTTTTGTGGTGCCCGTGGCTGTGTACAGTTGAAGGAACCAAGGCAACAGGAGAAATCAATTCCTTCGCCCAGGGATCCTCCAAAGAAACAGTTGACGGAAGAAAGGGAGACCGAAAAGGAGTCGGAACCAGAGCTTTCTTTGGAGGCTCTGGAGAAGACACCTGAATAGGTCTCCCTTGTCACTACTTCCTTTGAAGTAGTATGCTAAGAATGCGGCTTTTAACTAAGTCTCTCCTAAAATCCTTCAGGGTAAGTTCTTTTCTTTCATTTAACCTGTTTTAATGGTTAAGGTTAGTCAGTTAAACTTGCAACATAGCAGAGCAGCTTCAGTACAATTTAGCTGCTCAATTAGGTAAGCAAGACACTTTTGTTGCATTAATTCAAGAACCTTAGGTGCACAAGGGTAAAATCCTTGGTAGGCCCATGAACGCGCACTTCTTTTCGACAGAGGGACCTGATAAAAGACCTAGAACTAGCATTTACATTTCTAAAAATATAAAGGCTATGAAATTATCCCAATTTACATCAGAGGACTTAACTGCTATTGTAATTAAGGACATAAACAGTTCACTGAGAGGAAACATTTGCTTTTGCTCAGTTTACATGGCTTATGACCTTAACATTCCGCAAGAATTTATAGATCTTGTGAGCTTCTGTGAAATAAACAATATTCCTATGGTTATTGGTGGTGATGTTAACGCTCACCACCTGTCATGGGGCAGTTCTGATACCAATCCTAGAGGAGAAAAACTCATGGAACTTATAATGAATACCAACCTAACTTGGATAAACAGGGGAAATCGCCCCACCTTTGTCAACAGAAGAAGAGAAGTCATTGACCTCACACTAACTTCTTCTGATATTTATAACCTTATTGAGAATTGGCATGTAAGTGACAATCCCTCACTTTCAGACCATCGCCTTATACAATTTTGTATTAGAGATGAAATTCCAGCTGAATATTTCAGAAACATTAAAAACACAAATTGGGACCTTTATAAGGACTCCTGGTTTCTAATGTTATTAACCTTCAGGTTTTGGACAATAATTGTTACAGTCGAGGAGCTTGATACTCAAGCAAACAACCTTGACAAATATCATTATTGAATCTTATCATGCATCATGCCCTCTCAAACGAAAGGAAGTACTCTTCCTAGCAAGAGAGTTTGGTGGACCAAGGAGCTTGAAAGCCTCCGCCTAGAGGTTCGGAGAGCGCACAGGAAAGCAGTCAGAAATAAATCTGAAGTTAACTGGTCTAACTTCAAAATTCTACAAAGGAAATTTAAAAGTGAAATCAGGAAAACTAAATACAACTCATGGAGATCGTTCTGCACAGATATTCTGTCCTACCATGAGACTGCCAGAGTACATAAGATTCTTAAAAGATCTCAGGAGTCTCAACTCTCATCGGTTATGCGACCTGATGGCAGTTATACTATAAACCCTTTGGATACACTTTCGACCATGTTGAATTTTCATCTGGGGGACAGAAGTGTCACCTCTGACCCCCAGGAAAATCCATTGGAACTACTTCATAATCCATTAGATCTGGATTTTGCTAAGACAATTGTGAATTTTGAAAAGGCTAAAGCGGCCCTTGATGTATTTCTTCCCTTTAAAATCTCCAGGGAACGATGGCATTTACCCAATTCTGCTTCAGAAAGGCTGGGATATTTTTGGTCACATTCTCGTGGACATATTCAGGTCCAGTTTGATTTTAGGATATGTTCCTAAGGTCTGGAGAACTTCACGAGGTGTGTTTCTTCCTAAACCAGGAAAAGATACATATGAAGAAACCAAACTCTCTTTTAGAATGATCACGCTAACATCCTTCCAGCTTAAGCTGTTGGAGCGATTGATTTTCTGGCACCTCCAGTCAGATAATAATCTGAAACATATCTTTGGCTTAGACCAACATGGTTTTAGGCCTGGCTTCTCCACTGAGTCGGCCTTACACCAACTCGTGTGGAGAATAGAAAAGACAATTATAGACGGACACTTTGCCATTGGGATTCTACTGGATATTGTAGGAGCCTTTGATAACATCGGTTTCGAGAAAATACATAAGGCCCTTACTGGAAGTCATATTCACCCTATGATAACTAGATGGGTCATCTTCATGATTAAAAACAGGAATATCTGTGTTAGTCTCGCTGACTATGAAGTAAAGAGAGATATTACTAAAGGGTGTCCGCAGGGTGGTATTCTTTCTTTCTCCGTTCCTGTGGAACCTGGTTTTCGACTCAATCTTAGTACTTCTACGGGAGGAACCTGGCATGTCACAGGCTTATGCAGATGACCTTATTGTGTTATTACAGGGTTTCGATATCGGAACCCTACATAATCAAGCTCAGCAAGATCTTAAATAAAGTTTCACACTGGGGTGATACAAATGGCCTTTCTTTCTCTGCTGAAAAATCTGAGGTCATAGTTTTCACGTGGAGAAGGAAATGGAAACTGGCAGAATTTATATCTGGGTAACCAGATTATAGGCGTAAGGAATGCATTAAATACCTAGGATGTTACCTGGATAGTAAACTCACATGGATCACCCATATAAAAGAAAAGGCACAAACAGCCACAAATGTTCTAGTACTTTGTAGGCGAATCGTTGGTAAACAATGGGGCCTTAACCCAAAATCTACTCTATGGATTTATACTGCCATTGTCCGGCCAATGTTTTCTTATGGATGCGTGGTCTGGATTAATGTTATTAACAAAAGCTCGTATTTATAACATTATATATATATATATATATTTAAAAGGTGCAAAGACTTGCTTGCCTAAGCATTAGTGGGGCTTTAAATAGTACCCCCTACTGCTGCATTAGAATTTTTACTGCAAATTCCACCCTTGAAATTATTCTTGAGCGGAGAAGCAATTAAAGCCATGTATAGATTGAATAAAAATGGCACATGGTGCCAAAGGACAGGTTTTGGTCATAAAAGCCACCTGAAAAGCCACACGTTGACATATGCCTGGACTTGGGCAATGAGATCCCTATAATCTATATGCCCAAAGATGCAATTACTAAAACAATAGTTCCAGATAAACTATTTCTCAACTTATATACCAAAAAGGAATGAGATAGAATCTCTAATTGACCTAATTCAACAATCTGTGTAACAGGATCAATTGAATGTTACACAGATGGATCAAAATCCAACTTCACCTGGAGCTGGAGCTATTATAAGGAACCAAGGGATCTGAAGAAGATTTCATTAGATTTCATCTATACCTTGGTAAATTTACAACTGTTTTCCAAGCCGAGGTTCTGGACGATCAATATGGTCGCCAAGGAGCTCTTAGCTAAAAATACAGTTAATAAGTATATATATATTCTCTCTGACAGCCAATCAGCCATCCTTGCCCTGGCTAATCGTGTCAAGTTACAAAACTGTGTTTTGAACTGTACTCAAGATCTCAATTCTCTGGCTCAGGCCCATAATACCATTAGTTTAGTCTGGGTCCCAGGTCATTGTGATTTTTGCTGGAAATGAACTAGCTGATAAAGTAGCTAAAGATGCTTCGCAACTCCCCATGTCTGGCCCAGAACCATTTTACCCAGTTTCATATCAAACGGTTAAAAAAGAAGTAAGAAGCTGGATAAAGAACAAACATGATGATATATGGTCTAAACTTCCAGACTGTGCTCATTCTAAACTGGTGCTCAGTACACTTAACTTTTCAGGTAAACTCATACACCTCAGTAGAACTAACTTACGCCAGGTAATTCAAATTGTTACTGGACATGCTTATCTAGCTAAGCATCTCCACAAATGTGGTCTTGTTGAATCTCCTCTCTGCCCAGCTTGTGGAAAAGAAGAGGAAACATCGTTTCACTTTTTGGGACGATGTCCGGTGTTCTCTGTCCCTAGAAACAAATTCCTTGGGTTTCCCTATATTACCTTTGATCAAGCCCTTTTATACAAAGGGCTCTCTGGCATAATAGGGTTTCTGATGTATACTAAACACCTACAGGTAAGGTGAATATGGAACCACAAGAAACAAGCTTTGAGACGCCCTGTGAAGTTCTTTTTTTTTTTTTTTTTTTTTTTGAAAAGAAACTATGCAGGGATTTCCCTCTCATAGCTGTGTTTTGGAATATAATGATATCAAATCTTTATACACTACCTGGCCATTTGACTTGAGAATGCACCTCTGCCCTCCTTATTTATTTATTTATTTGACTCTCCATCGCACTCTTGTTTGGTCAAGAATTGCGTTTGGTGGTTTGGGAGGGATTGAATCGGTTTTCCATCCAATAGGGAAGTTTTTACAATCCAGCCGACATCTTGAACTTAGAGATGGGATCTTTTGCTGATACTATAGATTTGGTGTCAGTTTGAGATCTTATCTATTTTATTATTTACCTTTTACGGGAGTTACCATTTAAATCCCTTAACTTAAATGATCAAATGGCGGAAGAGTAATGGGCAATTTTGCCTAAACTCCTTTCCTTCTTTTCATAAGAAGGAAGCGCCCTATTGTTATGTTATGTTAAGAACAGAGGAAGATACAGAATGAAAGTGCAGAGTTTTCATTTTTGTGGTGCATGTTAACTTTTGGCAAAAGTATATTATGTAAATAAGAAATTCAGCGAATCAGCATTGGCAACACAGTTTGGATTTTTGGATTTGGATTATTCAGTTATGGCAAAGCACACGAGGGCTATCTGCCTAAAGGGATGGATGCGCAACACAGTTTGGAGTAAATTTTGAACATAATGGCCAGAGAAGGATTTTATCTCTAATATGGCAGAGAAATTTCTAAAATTTTGCACCTGTAGCAGTTTGGCATTAATCCTTAGTTTTGTAATAAAATTTGGCTTAAAATAGGGCACTCTGCAGCCAACTGGTACTGCAAAAGCCACTGGTTGCAAATAGGAGCAATTAATGCAGCAATCATAACACTGCTATAAGAAAAGCAGCAATTGGAAAAATTCTTCCAAGGTTTCAGCTCACAATTTATAATTTCAAACACCTTTTGAATCAGAAGGTGATTCAAATTATGAACATGAAAAATGAAACTACCTTTCCTGTAATTTAGATTACATTTTGAAACAAATCCTGGTTCAAATTGCAAACAGATATAGCCACTCTGCCACATATGAATAAAATTAAGTCTGTTACCAACATTAATTACAGAACTTATAGCAACATTCAACCTTATCATTTCATTAAATACAAATCATAAAAGTACATTATTCTTAAATTGAATAATATTCTATGTAGAACATAATTTTGATTATCAAATTTGAAATGTGAAAAATCTTGGAACAATTTTATATTTACAATTTTAAAATATTATAAAACAGAAATCAGATGCGTACTTACTTTATAAGCTTTTGGCAACTGATCAATAAAAGTAGAATATTCAGCAGGATTTAAACTGAAAAGAGCTACAAGAACATCTTCTCCATACTAGGCCAAAGAAAAAAGGATTACTTAATTTAAAGCATAGGACTTTTGTCAAACATTTCTTAATTTAATAAGCATTCACAAGTATAAATACTACCAAAGAACTAAATTATTAAGTTCAAATATTATTTATTTAAGATATAGTTGGACCAATTTATAGTTCTTAGATGTAACCTTATGGTTAGGAGAGATAGGAAAGACAAAATTGACAGTTATAAATTTATTTTTTAAATGGGAGAGACTGCTTACAGTTTTGTTTTTAGTACTGGGCTTTATCTGAAGGCAATACTAACCTTTTCTAGATAGGTGCCTCATATGGCATTCAATATAAATAGCCCATGCATCACTGGAGAAAGTGCTTAGGGTGGAGGTGGGCAATTGTTTAGGCTCAGGGGCCCCTTTATAGAAACCGAGGATAGTGCAGGGCCACACTTTTTTAAATGATTGCATTCATTAACTTAAAAATGAATAAACATAAAGTAAATAAAATAAAGGCAGTTTTATTGAACTTATTTATTATGCTAATTTCAATTTATTTATTATTTTGTGTGTCATTTCAGATTGTACTCCTTAAATGCGGCTATCGTTTCATGATAAAGTAAACACACTGCTTTATTCCCTGTGACACTCGTCACCGATTTCACATGTTTTGTTCCATGGTTCATGGTTTGACTAAAGTTGGGAATTTACATATTTACTGTTGTAAAGACAAAATTACAATTAACCAAATCAATCCAAAAAAAAAAAAAAAACTGTACCTCTTATCTACACTTTACATGCATACTGACATGCCAATCCTAGTGGAAAATACAATATTAATCTTCGGTCACAAATAGGAAGGAAATCTTAGTTCAAGATGCATTTTTCTAACTGTCTTGGCAGGTCACAAAAAAGGGCTTAGCGGGTCACTATTAGGCCCTCTCTAGCTTAGGAAATGAGTGATGCATATGTGTCTTTTAAACTGAGCCATTTTTTACAGAGCACTAGATGACATCATGTGTCCACTGCTTTTAAACTGAACAGTTTTAGGATCCTGACCTTCAGTTCAATCACATTCTGCCTTGCTTTGGAGTGAGCTATTGCAGAGGAGAAGAGAAAGCACAATATAAGCAAACACAGCTCGGCTCTTTAACTCACCACATGACTTTAAAAACTCGCATTTTTGATATCCCTCCTAATCCTTCTTTCCCCCTACTATGTAGTATCTTTTAGGGTTACTATGTGGGGTTATGTTACACTTTGCATTGCTTTCAGATATATTTTGCATACTTATCGTTTTATTTCACAAAGTCTTGACTCAAGTTTATTATGGTGAGAAAGTGTCATTTATCAGAAGAAGGATGGATATATTTGCATGGTTTAATGAGCCAATTAGTGACATGGATGAGAGTGATGATCCATTTTCTAAAGAGTTAGAAAGTGATATTTCTACTGACTCTGACACACATATTTTGTCATGTGAATCTCATTCTTCCACTTCCGTCAAAGATTTTATTACTTCTTGTATTTTTTATTCATTTTTAAGTTTATTAATGTATTAGCACTTGTACCACAATTTTAGTTTATTAATGTATTTAGCCAATTAAAACTTTAAAATAATTTAAAGAGCGATTGTGAAAATTATTTCTCAAAGTAAGCAATTTATTTTATATACTTTCATGTAAAGAAAAGGAAAAAGATTATTAAATGCTAATTTTAATGTATAAAACAGCTTAAGTAAGAACCTAAAATAAAATTGTACCCAAAATTATGATGTTAGGATTTAATATATTTTTTCCTCCAGTTAGGTTTAGCAATGTAAAACTCCTGCCCTACACGCAATGATTTTCGATCCCCTCCGTCCTGTAGGAATATCTTGAACAAAAGTGCATTGCAGCAAAAGTTTCAACATGAAAAGAACTTGTCTAGTGTAACTGTCTCTTTGAAGAATATTTTCCTGCTTTTCCTCAAAAGGGTTAAAGTAAAAATATGTTCGTCCCAAAGAAAGAGATGACCTTCATAGTGTACCTGTCTCCTTAAAGAATACTTTTCTGCTTCTGCTTAGGTTACATTAGTTTAACACAGGAAAGCACACAAGGGCTGTTTGCCAAAGGGAAAAAATGTCTTTGTGTAAGACTTTCTAAGGAAAACTTGGAAAAGCAAAGACTTTCTTGTATTCACTACATTGATGCATGTTACACATAAAGGAAACTGCAAAAAACAACCATATAAAAAGCCTATTTGCCTGAGATTAAATATGGTTGAACAGCCAGTATTTAGAAGTCTTAACCACCTGGTCACTGGTAGGGTTGGCAAATACAATTAAAGGCAACTTTGTGCTCATAGGGCTAACACTACTATTTATATCTATTTTTTAAACAAAGAGGAATTGATTCCAGCTATGATTATCTATTAGCTAGCAAAACAACTTTTATTAGTAGCTAGTAAAACAACAAGTTTAACACAGCTTTCATATACTGGGTCTCACAGAAAGATAGCCAGTATTTCATGATGTCTCTGTGAAGTAGGTATTATGCAAAACGAATCAAAAAGTGCTTTAATTTAAATCAATCACCTAAACAGAATATATGCACGTTGTGACAACTGCAGCCTCATAAACACATATGAGATTCTTAATTTTAATAAAGCATTATGCTTCTTATGCAATCTGATAAGTAACAAGATTTTTAGTCTGCATTTTCTTTTTAGAAACTAATATCAACTTCAGTTTGTACTTGGAAATGCTAAGATCTTTTTGTTCTATCAAATCAAGCAAATGGAAATGGAAGCTGGTGAGTAACAAAATGTACGTCTCCACTTTCTAAATTCATGACCTGAATTGCTGCTTTCAAAGATAATAAACTGAAGAAATAGACCAAGACCACGGCCTGCAAGAACTGATCTTACGTCAAGAGATATCTTCTGGGAACTGTCAGAAATGAAGTTTATAGTGTTGCAGGACCATATTAATGAAAGAATCATGTAAGCAATAGCAACTATAATTCATTTTAATAACTGTAATACTTAATGTCACAATTCCAAGTTCTGTTCAGCATTCATATATAAGGGCACAGCTTCAAATTTTGTCTTCTAGAACTATAACTGTTGAACTATCATTGTAAATATCTGTAAAATTCTGTTTTCAAGATTCATCAAATTCCAGTGCCAAAAGGTTCCAGTTCCACTTAATGTATGTGAAACTGCATCAGCAAACTATTATTGTAATACTACTAATACACAGAAACATTTGCCTGATTATCCTGCCTGTCCATCATGCTTTGGGCTGTGGCTGGCTAGGTAGTAGTTAACTTCCCACTCGCTGGACATAAGGCTTGAAGCAAGAGCTGTCCAGTCATCAGTTGCCCTTCCCCCAAAAAATACAGTAGATATTTATTACAAAGCATAGCCTGAAACTGAATATCACTAAGACTTCTGTTGCTTTTTAGGGACGTACATATTAAAACCCACTAATTTTTCTAGTAATCTTCATGAATGACTGAATTAAATAAATGTACCTTCAATCCGCTTCCTAGGTACAAGTTTATCTGATTCGTTCTTGACAAAGCGATTTCCTATGTCATCAAAATGCAAACCTCTTTATAAAAAAAGAAAACATTTGTAGGGCATAGTTTTGTGGAAAATTTTCAAGCCATTTCCGTCTATTGCCCGCAGATCCCGCACATGAGATGACTTATGTCACAAAAATATAAAAGACCTATAAAAGTGCGAATTTCAGTTAAGAGTTGTATTATGAGCATCTCTCTCTCTTTGAAATCTGTCAGAAATAGATGCAATATAAATATTTGTATAACTGACGACTTTCAGCAACATATGCTCACTTAGTAAAAGTTACCACGATTTATTTGGAGTCTACACATATTTTGCCTCACCGATGTTTCCAGGCAATTTAGTAATAATATTATGAGCAGGAGTTCTAACATCAGTTTTAGACTTTCTTTTTACCATTGGGTTTTTTGTCTTTTCCAATAAAGCAATAAATGTCATTCTCATTTTCATTTTCAGGATACATCTCGATTTCTGAATCAGTATCATGAGAACTAAAAAATTCATTATAACTTTCATCATCAGTTTCTTCAATGGAGACTTCAACAGTTTATACATCAAATAATTTTTGTAAATGTAACATTTCTTCCTTATAGGATAAATTACGTGACATGTTTGCAGTTTTCTGTGCTACAACAAATGAACTACCTTACAACAATGCGAATAGGAGAGCTGGGTCTGAAAGACCCGATCAGATTAAAACAAAACCGCAAATTAAACAAAGATTAAAACAAAACCATAAAATTTCCCGCAGAAAACTTCAAAAACATAAAGAGGATGGCCCTGGAGGAGACTACACTGAACCACAACCACTTCAGAAAAATAGGGGCATTTTCAGAAAGGTTTCTTTAATCAGGCGGGTCCATTCATTTAAACGGGTGGGTCCAGCGCGTGCTCGCAGGTTAAAAATATATCCATATGGAGTCAAAAGTTGTTAATTCGGACACCCATAATCCGGACCTCAAAGCTAAAAACTTTCTGCGTGCGCATATGCGTGTGCGCAAGCGCAGAACACGTTTTCGCGTGCGCGTTTTATGTATAACGGACGGTATAAGCTAAAATTATCTAATTATCTATTTCAGTTAATGTTGATGATTACGTTGTTCCTTAATCTTCGAATTGGATCTGGCTTATTATTTTTTGCAGACTGTAAAAGTAAACTTGAACTTTCGATTATGTCAAATAGAATTTCCGATTCTGGAGCTCCCAAAGGATCATACAAAACAAAAGTATGTTTCGATGTCCATCAAACAAAATGTGGAATTGCTGCAAAAAATGGATAAAGACATGAAGAATGTGACAGAGAGGTTAGTGAAATCAAAAAAATTTCGATTGACAAGTTAGTCGGTATTCTCGGCACAGCAATTAACGGGACTTGAACAGTGGAACTTTGTAACTGAACAAGAAATTATGTCTGTTTATAGAATTAAAGAGAAAGTATTATCTCATAAAACGAAGCA